GGTTATTTCTTTAGTAAAAAAAAAATATGTAAAAAAAATAAACATACATAAATACTGTAAGTTCAAATTTTGACGAAATTCACCAAAAACTCGAAAATGTAATTCTACAACATTACATTTATACTTGGTATCACTTTATACCTATGCAATATTTGAAAATTTAATATCATGCAGAGATTTTAAGACCAATGTTAGAAAACAATTTGCGCTTTGASTGTACATCATTTTCATTTTTATTGTTAAATAACATTGATGTGCAAATTATGTAGTTCCTTTTAAACGGTAAATGCGCAAACAATGTAGAACCCAAAAATCGAACAATAAGCAATTATTGTCTTACAAAAAAAGGTCAAAATTAACAATAGTGGTGCGCAAACACCAACCGTCGTTATATATCATATTATATAATAATAATTATTATTATATAGTATTATTAAGAATTTATGAACGATATCGTTGATATTGGGTTAGGTCWTGTATATTAACAATGATTAATTTAACTAAATTTCATAATAGTATAGGTAATGAATTAATGGAAATTGAGCCAAATTAATATTGTGAAATACTGAAATGTRTATATTCGTTATTTTAGATTTATACCCATAGGCAAATTCAAAAGTTYTAGTCATAAAAATTTTTCCTTTTACATTTATTATTTGTCTTGCCTGTGTATTTATTATTTCTTTGTTTTATTTACATTTATAATTATTATTATACATTTACCTATACCTAAATCAATAGATTTTTATTTTTGGAATAAAACAATATTATACTTCAATGATCTAAATATTTTTGGGTATTCAAAATACTTTCGCAGATGTAGTATTTATAGATTAGTATATTTCAGAACAAGTTATGGATATTTCTTAAAGGGTAAAATACAATAATAAATAATTTAATGATAATATTATAACATAACATTATGATTGATAAAATTATGACAATGTTCGTATTAATTCACGTCAAATAACGTAGCGGACAGTAAAATCAGATGATACACATGATTGATACAATATTATTATTAACAATATTTAATTACTAAGCATATAAATTATGTTAACTACATCATTATTTACCCAAAATGGGCACAAAATATAATAATTATTAAGATATCATGGCAATTGCATTCAGTCCGCGGTATACCTATTTTGACGTGCGTCAAACCGCGAAGACGAGTTAATTCGAAATATGTCATAATTTTTTCGTTTCACCCAATTCTTATAAAAATAAATAAAAGATAAGTAATTTTAGACAATAATTAAAAAAAAAATAAAATAAAATAAACTTAATAATATTAATGTTCTGATAATAATGTTTTATAGTTTGTACAATATGCTTCGTTACATTTTAAATATTTTATGTAATAATAGCATTATTTCTATATTTACACATTAATGATAGAAATAAATAAATGATTAAATAAAAATGATTACAATAATTTCGCATTAAAATTGATATTCACGTCAATCGACGTGTCGTATGTGTGTAAAATATATATTAAGCTTGATAAATTCGAAATACGAAAAGAACAATTCAATGGAATAAGGGAGGAAAGAAAACGAATTTAAACCCGAATACTGCACAGTAAATACAGGTCATTGGTATAGGTACAATCGGACTTGAGCAATACAAGGATATTAAATAATGTTATAATAATATAGTATGCCAATTGGTTGATAACGACTGTAGGCAAATGCAATGCATATAAGACGAATATATTATTGTAACGTTGACTTATTTTCTTGTCGTTATTTGTCGATTTTTGTTTGTGTTGTCCTTTCTTTTCGTCTTTTCGGTGTCCGCTGACAAGAACTATGAATGTCATCACCCTGTGCCCTGCACGTCTTCCATGTGACGCGTAGTTTTGTACACGGAAAACCTGAAAAAAGATTCATTTGTCAATCATCATTATCATCATCATAGTAGGTACATTACATGATAATATATTAACACTGTTGTTATTGTATTATAACCATAAGAAAAACGTCATAACAATTACGAGACAATACGAGACGCGTGTGTGCGTGTCGTGTTATTTTTTAAAATATTTTATTCCGACGTTTTTCATAAATAAAATAAATTATCGTCACATKTTTCTGCGTTACACTTTTTAACAAGACGACGACTAACGACTGACGACCGTTATCGGTATCAAACACATTACGTATCCGAATCGTCGGAATTGTCGCTGACATGGGAACCCACGTCCGTCCCGTCAACCAGATTCGATATAAGTATATAATATAAATATGAATATGTAAGCAAAAACGACGATGTCTCACATAGTACAAAGCGTRCTATCACTGTAAAATACAGATATCTACTACACTTCCATTATTATTTATTACTCATATTATTATCATTTACCGTATAGTAATGTAAAATTATACACACACACACACACGTGATGAAATACTTAGGCACGTAACGGTTCGTAAACGCGTGTAGGTACCTACGGTGAATTTAAATATAATCTAAATAATCAAAAAAAAATTTAAATAATAATGATGGAAAATCAAACGTGAAATAATTAGCTCGCATTATAGGACGTCATACTGCGATAGTATTATATTATCTACCTATAATACATTGTAGACATTAAATACCTAAGTTTACGGCGTTGGCGGTTGCGGTTATTGTTAGAGTATCTGTATCAGCATAATGATATGTCTGTGCTTAATTTTTTAACACGTCTGCTCTTTGGATGTATACTTCACATTATCATATTATAATCGATTACCGATGCGCACGGCCTGRTGAGTATAGTGAATAATAACGATAAAAATAAGATAATTTAATAGGTACACTCGATGATATTATTATGACTACGAGTCTTCATGTCCGACCCCTTCCACTACCCTATAACATAGCGCTGCGTGGTTATCGCGCGATGTCCGAATCGAATCGTGTCGGACGAATAATATAATACACGTCGATGGTCGGATAKATACCGCGGGGAAGGTATTCGGGCTAGGTAATTAATTTATTCCGTGACAAATAAAATTCACAACGCGTAGCCTACATTATAGGCTATGAATAATATAATCGGCGGCGGCGACGGCCTGATTATCGTCTTCTTCCCATCAAAAACTTCCGATTTTCTTCACACCCACGCTCGTATCGATTGTTATTATTTTTTGTACTACTATTTAGACTACAAGGTTATWACATCAGCTGCTAGGGAGGATTAAAAGTGGAACGAGTTTCAAATTGGTCCGGGGTTGAAAGCGTTGATRAAAAAATACTGATAACGTAACTGCCTATGCCATTATACGATGATAATATAAATATATAATTTAACTAGAAATTAAATWTTAAAMAAATTACTATATACTATCATAATTTACTAGGAACAATAATTGTAAAAAAACATAAAATGAATCAGTTGTTGTATACATATTTRTTTTTTAAATAATGCATAGTAAATTCATAGYATAGCTTTATTCAATGAATTGAGGTTTTCATTCAACAAAACTACCCGGGTTCTAAGAAATAAAAATCTTGAGTGGTTTTTGTGTAATTTTTATATTTTTTGAGACTCACGGTATTTCTGCTAACGATAGCAGTATTATAAGACTACCATATTATCTTGTCAGGATCTTATTGTTTGTCATTCTAACGCATTCTACTAAATAATGAAGTCATGAARTCGTGAAAAAAAGATYGCATATTGGATGATTTTATAATAGACTTATGGATCACTTCAGAACTTTTCAAAGTTGTTATGACTGACTTCCTTCAATCCTTTGAAAGGTTACTTTTCTCAATCTTAACTCTTGCAAAAGTGCATAACACTGTGAGATGAATTGGTGGAATTGAGTAGTATTGTAATGACGTATTATATTATAATTGAGGAATAACTTATGAGGAATACTTATCATATCAATTTGTCTCTTGTTTTATGGTAAAAGTTCAAGGAAAAATGGAAAAGAATCGTAGTCGACTTATGTTCTTGTGACAATCGACCTGTTAGCCACTTATATTTTCAGRAGTTTAGCTAGTGGTTTTCAACATATATTAAAATACAACATACGAATTCATCACCGATAACATTTTTGTGGCACACCAATCCATATAATTTACATGAAACATAATAATCTATTCTTAAAATAATATAATAATAATAATAGTTATTATTAGTATTATCAATTAATTGAATAGTAATTTTATTAATGTATTAAGTGAATATGTATTTTAATTATTATTATACGTTCCATAAAAACATAATATTTCAAGTAATTTACGTTCTTAAAGGTGTTCAAATTTAAACTATTATAAAAATATCGTACATTTTAAATAATAAACTTAATGTATAGAGGAATGCTACTGTTAAAAAACACGACACATTACACAGACGATAATTGGCATGACGTCCATAGCTCATAATATTGTGTTCGTATGGTGGACAGTATTATTATAATAATMATTTTGGCACATTTTTTAATAATGATTATTATTATTATTATTCAGTTCAATATTTCTTAAAAACCAAATTAAGAATGCCAATGATAGTGAAATCGTTTTTGGCAAGATTKTAATTTGTAAATAGCACATCGGATTTTTCACGCCAGTTTAATAATATTCGTATTTAAATACATAGATRACTATAACAATACAAATATAAATATCAAACAAACATACAATATACTGACTAGTATCTGAGAAAATAAAATTATAACTATATAAAAAGGTGAGTATAATTGACCATATTTTATATGGAACCAATTGTTTCGTATAATGTACTTTTATTTTCGTAACGATTAGAATAAAAATAATTAACGTACCCACCAAAATAATAATTGCACATAAAATAATAAATAAATATTTGTAGTAARTCACATTGCATTTATTATATTATTGTGGTAAGAGCTATCRAGACCATGATAATAGTGCAAACTGAGACATTTTATTAATGTAAATTATAATATACTTTTGCATTATGTTTTATAATTGATTGATTAATAATTAGATACTCATCCAGTCGTGAAATAAAGGCACTTTTTTAGTWATAACGAGCATTTTCAATTAATTAAAATTTCAAGACATTTAGTATCAAGTTATWAAACATTGTTGAAGCTTTAATTCAAATAAGCTCTAGAATAAATTTCATAATAGGTTATAAAAATTATTATTGTTTTAATTTCTCGGCAATTAAGAACCTAAGTCCGTAACTGTCAGTTATTTATTTGTCGCCAAAAAATATTCGTATTAATTTTTATTTTATGAATTCACTTTATTACTTATGGTTATACAATACTAATGTAGGTCTTAAAATGTCCTCTACTTATGATCTTTTTTCAGATAGTGTAACACTGTCACWATAATATGTTATTAATGTATTAAAAATTTTCATCATTAAGTTTTTATCCTCCATACGCTGATATATCATTAATAATATTTAATGTATATACAATTTTTTAATTACAGTCATCTATGTTTGTTTTTCAATTATTAACTTGCGTTCGATAAGTTTTATTAAAGGTTTAAAGGTACAAGGTTGTTATTATAAAGATATTACCGTTTCTAAATGATCTTAACATTTTAAAATACCTTTCAATACTGATATAATTGACTGCCGTATAACAATTGGAATTATAACATAATTATTGACATAGAATTAAAATGGATACAATGTAAATAGAGTGAAGGAAATATGTTTTTAAACTTGATTGATAGTTTTTTTTTTTTTTTATCAATGGTTTAAAAATTTCCGCGTGCTTACATATTTAATTTCTTTAATCAGATTTTTGATTTGTATACGCATATCTACTATGCATGTTTAAAAACGTGAGCACATGACGTGTTTTTTCATTAAAGATAGAACATAACAATATTATATATTATAAACGTAATAGTTTTGCCGGTGTAGTGATGTGTTATACATATTATTTTATTATTATAATTCTCATATATTATGCGAGTACAATGAAATGTATATACTTATCATGCTAATATTAGATGCTTTAAGGTTTTGCAAAATAATAGTGTTGGCGTATGAATGGCATACAAAATATAATGTAAATCCAGGTCGTGCAAATACAACCGACGAGGTGTTAAATAGACCAGAACTAAACCAAGAGAATCAAATATTTATATGCTGAAACGATTCTATGATTATAATTTTTTTTACTGTCGTTTTTCAATATTGAATAGGTCCGTCACATGATCTCAAAAATAATGTGTAAGTATAAACATGTTTTATGATAATAAAAACATGAACAATCCAACAAAATAAAATAGTTATCAGTTTATCACCCATAGAACCTTAATTCAGTTGTAATCATTAATTAATTAGTTTAATATTACGATTATGAATGAGTATACAATACTGTTCAATGTATACTCAATAGTAATTAMTCAATGTATTATCAAAATAACAATTAATGTATATTAAAAGATCTTAATATCACAATTACGAAACTCAAAACACTTAATCTAAGATTGGATTATGAGTTCACATAATTGATTCATACTTAACATTATTAAATATGCTAGTCATTAACACCTTCTGGTACTTCAGTGTGTGGGTAAAATAAAATAAAATCTTTACTTTTTCCTAAAAAAATCTCATTTTTGTATTGACTGTAATGACTCTCTTATTTTTCGCACATAACATTTAAAATAAGTAAAAAAGACAATCATAAAATATTCTGATAAAAAATACTACAAGAAAATGTTTTCTACGAAATAGACACCATATTAATTGAAAAGTGTTCTTATTGTCTTGTTCCCTTTTACACACACAACAGCAATAATATGTATATTATATATTCAAATGTTTTTAGCACATTAAATTTCTTGTTTAAAAACCATTCCGTAAATATGAATCATAGGTGCTTGACAAATAAAATATAAGTATCTTGAAACATATTTTTTGATAATTTTTAAATATGAATTCATATTATTTTTCCCTCAAATTTTACATATGTATTAAATATATTTGTCTTTAAACATTATTTTAAAAGTACCTTGATATTTTAATCAACTTTTAATAAAATAAATTATTATTAACCCAAGGTATAATAAGGACACAATATGTTTTATAATGCCAGCGATGCCACTAATATATTATTATAATTTGAGCGTGCAGTAATTGAATAAATATTTAAATGGCATAAATTGAAAGAAAAGAATTGTAACAAAATTTGATACGGTGGTGCAAGCGGTAAGTCCATATTCTTAAGAATTAAATTCATGTAAGTGCCTATATGATGTGTTTTCGTGAGGCGTTAATGCGTAAATTTAACGTTGGATGTTTTATTTTGTAGCACGTGTTTGAGAGCTCACATGCTATTATCCATTCAAATTAAATTATCCAGATCTAAATTAAAATATATTAATACCATTAATAACTCACTAAAATCATGTAAATCTTAAAAATTACGTGTACATGATAAATTAAATGAAAATGTCACGTGAAAATAATATGTATTATCATTTAAATATATTTTATGTATTACAGAAAGTATTGATATAACCATTTTTTTTAGTCGACCAATAATAATTTATTAATATTATATTAATAATAAAAATAAATA